GCAGGCTTATATCCCTGACAACTTCACCAGGCTGTGTCAGATACCTAACTCTTAATCTGTCCCACTTTCACCACAGATCTGAGCCTTCCTGTTCCTCTGATGCTTTCTAGTGAGTCCATTTGTTCTCCCTGGTAAGGTTATGAGATGACATGCACAAAGACATGTCATGCAAGATCCCCTCTTTATAGGGCCTCATGAAATCCTATTGTCATAAATGAGCAGAGGTGGAGCATGGATGCTAGGACAAATCACTGAACCTTATGCCATCTAGTAACTCATGCCTACCAGTCCCTATTTATCTCATTTTTTTCTTGAAGGGCTGGTTTGGATTTGGATAGGATAACCCCCATTTTTTTCCATGATCCAAAGACATTTTTCCAGGAGTCACACAGATCTCGTCTTCTTGGCCTTCACCTTTTTCAGTACACATCCTACACCGAAGCCATCTAAGGGCAGTTGATGAGAATCAGTGATACTAGCAGCAACTTATCAATGAATCTCTTACTGTTTTTTGCCTAAAATATGTAATCTAGGAGCACGTTCCCCATCTTCAAGCTGAAGATGAAAATATTTTATCTCCAGATCAGAATGAAAATATTTAGTTTCCAGATGAAAATATGTTTAATTGTTGAGACAAGCCTCACCTGCAAAGTTTTGATCTTTATCAAAAACTTTCTTAGGCACAGACATGGAAATCTTACTGACTTTTGCGGATGTATTTAAAAATTCAGAATTCAGGAAAAGGCTAATGTTTCCTCCATAAATAATTCCTCATTGCAGAAATTTTTAGCTAACACTCCCCTTGATTTTTCTAGGTGACAACATTCAGACAGCTGTGACTGTTGCCAAAAATGCTGGCATGATTTCTCCAACAAACAGAGTGATTCTTGTGGAGGCAAACCAAATGCCTGGATCTTTTTCAGCATCTATAACCTGGAAACCACTAGAAGAAGATAAAACTGAAAATTACAGAAGCCTGGTAAGCATATGAGAAGCAGGTGTTGTGCAGCAGGAAAACAAACTAAGCTGGAATACTTCGAATAATGCAGTATGCTAGTATAACAGAGACCAGTCATTTGCCATTGTCTGCATGTCAGAATGTTATGTGCTAAAAAAGTGTTTAAAAAGAAAGGATTTTTATAAAAATGTGCTCCTCTAGACCTTCCTTCCTAGCATATTGTGAATGTCTTTTTGCTAACTGCCTAGCTAGGCTTGAGAACAGCTTTGCAGAAACCCAGGTAAGCCCTCATGCTTAGCTGATGCCAGTTTAAAGCATGTTTCTTTCCCCTGCAAGGTAAATTTGATGGTATAGATGTGGACTCTGTGGAACTGCGCTGAATGAACCAGCCTTGTTCAAGCAGGTAGAGAGTTAGCACTTCCCCATACCTGCAGAATTAAAACACAGATTAACTGCTGAGAAATTGCATATACACAGTGAAACGTAGGCTAGCTGTGCTGATAAATCATATTTAATTAAGCATCTCCACAAAGACACCGAGACAAAGACCAGTTACTCTCTCCCTGAAGAGTGTGTCTGAAGATGCTGACCCTTCTCTGAGGAGTATTAGAGTAAGGAAGATGGTAGGGAATCTCTGCAGGGGTGGGGAATCTGATGAGGGGCTCCTTTCTACCAAAGCTCAGCCTGAGCACCATCTTCACTGTATTTCACTGCGAAAAGGCATGCCTAGCTATGGTGCCCATGTTCTCTCTGTAGCCTCTCTTACAGTGCATCCCACCACGTTGGAACTATTGCATAAATTCTGTCAAATGTGGCAATGCTGAGGGCCAGCTTTTAAGACATAGGAAGCACCCAGTTCACACTGAAATTAATGGCATTATATGCCTAAATCCCTTTACAAATCTGGGCAAAGGCCTTGAACCCAGGTGTCCCAGAGTCTTCACAAGTGCCCTCTCCCTGGTGTGTGCTTTTCTTTGTCTGTAGTAGTGCTTGTTTAAATGCACATAGTAGCTTTTGAGGGCCTGGGAGGAGCACTCATTTTGGCTTGTTTTATAGGAGGATGACAGTCAGACTGAAAGAAGAATCAGGCTGGCGTTGGAATCAGGCCAATATCATTTTGCCATGAGTGGAAAATCTTACCAAATTGTAGCACAGCATTTCAGGCACTTACTTCCAAAGGTAAGATCTGGATTATTTATTATTATTAACTGGAGTAGGTTTGCATTCCAGTAGATTGGATTAGCTGAAGAGATCTGTACCAGAACATTTTTTGGGAATAATTCTAACCCTGAAATACTCATGGGCTGGATGAATCTCCGATATTAACATATGGGAAAGGATATGAAAATCCATAGATTTTTTTCTACACATGAGGGGAGACGACCTGCCTCATGGTGTGAGGACATGACTTAAAACTTATGCCTGGCCCTTGCACTGCACTGATTCTCTCATGTTTTGGAGAACAGGAGAAAACGTGGTATTACACAGCATGCAGTTCAGCATGATTTGTCTGTTTTATGGAAAAGATAGTCTTACGAATTTTCTTCTAGCAAATCCCTGCCTGGTACTCTGTGTTCATTCAGATGACACACCAGGCCTCTTGTCCTTATTGTGACTGTTATTTTTTCAAAGTAATAATTAAGATACCTTTTATCTTTGATCATCAGCCTTTCCTGTTTTGAAGTCTAGCATCGGTTGCTTGGAAATGTGAATTTTTGGTGGTTTCTATTCCAGATTATCACTGAAATCACCGTGACGCTTGCATCAAGTGCTTAA